TGATGGTCTACCAGAATACTTTGTTTCCCGTGTGGAAATTCGACTCCAACACCTCACCGACCTTTTTCCAGGAATCACCTTTCGATTTAGCCACTGCTTTAGCTGCCGCGTGCGCAACAAACGAGTTTAAAACATTTTGCTTCCGCGCCGTCTCTTGAATGCAGCCTTCTTGCTGGCAACCAGTTAAACCTCTCATATCCATCCGTTAGTTATTTTCTGACCCCCAGACGGTAGGACAGCATGTTATAAACTACCGCATTCTGCGGCAGCCACAGAGTCAGTCAGTCTCCCTGAAAGATCTTCACTTAGGGTTTCACGTCAGCTTTCATCACTGGGATCTGTTCAAAGCGTCGTGCGATGTTGTTTGTAAGTTTTTGCCTCGTATCCGTGTAAGATAATGTTTCCCGTAGGATTTTCTGGTTATTTCTGTTGGCAGATCGTCGCTTGGTACTTTTTCGTTTACAGCGTAGCGTTCTAACAACATAGCGATAATGGGTTGACATCTCTTTTCCTCTCTTAATGCTAGCATCCATTACAGAGCGTCGGTGTTGAGACAGTACGATTATCATGTCGATCATTATCTGTACACAACCTTCCCTATACCAGGTATACTGATGCACTCTTCGATGCTCGAAGAAGGCTATCATAACGGACAGTTTGTTGTTTGCACAAAACTGCAACAACTTCGTGCCGTTGTTGTTGAGGTCTCTAGGGCCATTTTTTCTAATCACGCTTTCCACTTTTCATTTTCTTGCATCGAATCGTCCATCAGAATGTTCGGTTTTGTAGTCAGAACTTCCTGCGGAGCACGCTGCAGTTCTTCATGGAGCGGCTCACTTTCTCTTTCCAAATTTTGCACATGTACACATGACCTGTAACAGGGTCAGTTCTTTTGTCTGTTATAGCTTCAGTTGGAGGAGGATTGCCACTCTTCCGGTTACTGGCTTCCGTTAAATGATGCTGTCATCCAAGTTAGGTTCTACCACAACACCAACATTGACTTGAACGCACGTCGTGATGTCGACACCTGGGTAGAATAGCTTCCACCCGCAGAGGTTCAGAGTTTTAGAGTCTTGGCGTTTCGTTGACGAGAGTCCATCTGTATCTAGTTGGTATTTTGCCGCCTCACGAACTAGTTCCTGCTATCTCCCTCTGAATAAGATGTTCAGATTTTCGGCTGTGAGTTCCCACTGCTCCGTGAAACCTTATATGACGTGCTATAATGCATTGCTTTGTCTGCCTCCGTTCAGAGCGTATAGCCTCTCCGTGGCCTTCTTGTATCTTCGTCGTTTTCTTTTAGATTTTTTGCAGCTGTTATCTTGCTGCTACATTCTCAGCTGCCAGGAGGCGAGAAGCAAGTTCTGTCTTCCTACTTTTTGCTGTCTTCCTCCTTTCTCTAATAGCCTATTCGATCCTTGTTACTCGGCTCATCGACCGAGCTGCTATAACATTGGATGACGACAATCTCATGAGTAGCAGGTGGCTAAGTTTTATGGGAGACCTCTCCGCGATCCCTAATGCTGCGCTTTTCCGATTCAGGCTTGGGCGGGCAACAGCGGAGTCAAAATTATGTGCTTTAAAAAATACAGGAGTTTTAATTTTATCAACAATTTTTAAGAAGAAGCTCGAAAACTACCGAAAAAGGCTGAAGGATCTCAACGAAGGTGTTCTCCACCGTGGTATAACCGAAACGATGCTGTCGAACATGGGCCAAGGACTGAAGTTAGTTAATGCGTTCTGTGCTGCCACCGAGCTCTGATGGCCTGTTGTTTTAGAGATGTTGGAACGAACATTAAAGAGAGTCTCTCAGAATACACTGGGTACGTGTTTTAATGTTTTGTTACTTGAAGAAGTTGATTTATTACGTTGTACGTTTTGTTTAATGCGGTGACGTCGTTGTACCCGTCGTTGTTGTTGTGTATGCATTATGGTAAGTTTATTCACGGCGTAGTGTTTTCCAGATCAGTGATGTCTGTTCCAAAAGACATCGCTCTTAAGCTGAGAAAATCGAAATTTGGAAGCACAGATTTTATTCCAGGTGAATCGAGTATGGCTTTCATTTGTGATTGTTTGGCGGTATCATGTTTCATAGTTTGTAGCTTCTGGTGATGAAGTGTCCTATCAGAAAAAAGTCGGCAGTTCACCCGGCAAGGCACCGGACCAGAAGTGCACGTTTTACAACAGTGAACGGTAATTGTTTGTGACCAACTGTACGTTGTTAGCTTCTTGTGAGACAGACGCTCTCTCAGGGTCAAAAAATCAATTTCGCTGTATTTTCATTCGTTATTGTTTGTCAGCACGACCTGATATAGTAGTTTAATCTAATGTACATTTGCCAGCGAGAAACCCATTTACCCTTGGATTTCCTTGCGATGGAGCGTCAGAAAGAACCAAGGTCCCCAGGTTCGAGTTCCGGTCAGGTCACTCTTTTCATCTTTTCGAGGTTGATAAATGAATATCACTCCATGGGAAAAACAGAATACTACACGCTATGCGTGTTATTGCTGTAGATTCTTTCTTACGAAAGGCACTCCGTGTTGATGGCATAGAAACGGCGATGAGCGTCACATCATTAACTTCATGAAAAGAAGGGCTCTAGAAATGACCCCTTCATGAAATTACAAAAAAAACTGACGTTTCAGCGGTTAAAAACTTTTTTCTTTTTCCATTTATCCTGGTGTGACTTTTTTTCAATCCTGATCTGCATTCTGTTCGACGTGATTTTGCTGATATGACTGGTTCAGTAAAGTTGTACGGATAAGTTTATGCGTAAGCTAATTTCACAAGCGATTCGCAGCTGTGATTGGTTGCCACGTCTACATGGTTTAGACAAATAAACAGTTCTCGAAGTTTTACCGTTGCCTTTGTGCATAACGCGTTTAGGATATAATCTCTTTCATTGTCTTAGTTGGCCTCACGTTGTCTTTTCAAACTAATGGTAGCTCTTTGAGAAAACTTACTGGATATACGACATTTAATCGTCGTCATCCGTTTACGTTTCCTTTGGATTCGTATCCATTCCACTTTATCATTTTGCCTAATGGGTTTGCACTCTTTGTGATGGACGTTTGTTTGCCCGTTATGCAGATTATTCGTTGTCCTTTATAGTTCGAATACCTCTTGCACATTATTGCGTTTCAGCTGTACTCGTATTTTTTTTTATTTCAGTTTAATTGTCTTTCTCGACATCAGAAGACCGTTCTGTTTGCGTTTAGTGTTCTGTCACTCTGTCGCCAGGGGTTTTTCAGATATTCTGCGTGCCTTTTGAGATCAGCAGTACGCTTGTCCTTCTGTTACTTTCGGTAAAAACAAGTGTCATTTGTTCT